TGCGAATACTTGACATATGGAATCATGAAGAAAAGAGAGGCCCAAGAAGAGAAGGGAGAAATTGTCAGCTGCAGAAAGGGCGTGGAGAACCGCGATGATGAAACAACAACTGGTGAAAAAGTATGAGAATTAGTGAATTTTGAAAATCCCTTAAAGCACTTCATATGTACCTTGAGGTCCCGATGCAACACTTTCTGTTGAGCGCATTTGCGAATTGTGAATGCTATCTGTCGAAATAAAAATCTTGCGAGCTGAAAATCAAAGTTTTTTTTTTGATAATATAAAAACATCGAAAAGACTGTCTCATGCTTTTTTCGTTAACACTCTCATTTCTTTTAAATTTTAAAAACTTTTTTACACAGAAATTAAATTTGAGAAGTTTATTTGCTGCTCTTTAATTCTATTTCCTTACATCTTCGTCAAGCTTCTTGTGGCTCTTAATAAAATCGAATAAATCAACGCATGGATAAGGGCGTTCCATCACGATCAGAAATCCTTCCGGCGTGCTGTACCAGTCCAGTAGTTTGATCACTCCCAGAACATTCACACATCGCGCTAGCATGCAAATTTCCATTGGCACTCGCTCGTCATCCATCTTAACGGACCGTGATTACGCAAGAAAACGAACAAATCTACATGATAGCGTAGAAAATCGTCGTATTCATGAGCAGAGTTCCGATTCTCAAGAACAGTACAAACAAAAGCCTACCTTTCCCCAGTCACGGACTTGGTTCCGGTCAATAAATTTAACAGCGACCGGAAGTTCATCGCAAATGCGAAAGCCACGATAAACGATTCCAAATCCGCCACGGCCAAGTTCTCCATGCAGTTTATAACGCTTTTTGAATTTCGATAATCCACGGCCTGTAATATTTGCAAGAGGATTTCAAAAAGTTGCAATTCTAAGTTTTTTTTTTTTGAATATGTGCAAATTCAGATAAGTTCCGCTTGCAATAAAATCCAAGAAGCTGTGCAACTTGAAACCGAAACATTTTCCTCATATAAAATTTAAGTTTAATCAATTGGAATACTAACAAATCGATTAAGTGATTTTTACCGTCCAACAACATTATTTTACTTTGAGAAAAGCTAAACGCTTGCCTCGCGCTACCTTTTGTTGATCCTCTCGCCTCGTATGGGTTGAAAACATCCGAGCAACCAAGTTTAGATGGGCCTAGGTAATCAGCTTTGACCATTTAATCCTTTACTAGGGATTAAAGGATCAACCTAATCCTTAATAAAGGACCAGCTTTGACCACTTAATCCTTAAATAAAGGCTTAGGTAATGAGCTAAATGATCAAAGCTGATTACCTAAGCCTTTATTTAAGGATTAAGTGGTCAAAGCTGATTCTTTATTAAGGATTAAGCTTTATTTTTTAGTTTACTTCGCTTTACTTGTCAATTTACTTGTCAATAATAGCTATGAGCCGTTCTTTAGTTCCGGGTACCGCATCGACTGAGATTCAGCCTCCCTGAAAACTGCTTAAAAAAATAATTTCCTAGAAGCCACAGCCATCATCGAAGAGCATAACAGTAGGTGAGCTGAAAGAGCAGACAAGCCGTTGAGGGAATTTTTGCTGGGAAACAGAAACAGGGCCGTCAGGAGGTTGCTCAAAAAATATCTTTAGTAACAGCAGCGATCGAAAGCTGATCAACTGTGTTAATGCGCAAAAGTACGCGGGCATTAACCAAAGTACAGCTGACCAAGGTACGAAGAGTCAGTCTAATAAGTTAAACAAAAACACTTTTCGAAACTTTTCTAGATAATCAGGTAATTGAATTAGCGCATCAAGCTGATGCCATTTTTCCTCAGGAAAATTGATAGGTAATGGTAAAATACCGTTCAGGAGAACTTTCAGGTTGAAAAGCTGCGTTGAAGCAAGTTTTTTCACTTTCCTCGCAATTTGCGCCATCGCAGCAGCTGTATTTTCGTTGGTTTCGGAAGAGTAGCCTTTCTCCGGTTATTTCACGATTTTTTGAAGCGAATCAACAGACAGTTGACAATTGAATACAAAAATTTTCTGCGTTGTTTTTTTTTTCTGAAAAATACGCAAATATTAGCTGTAGCATCAAAATTGGGCGTTTGGAAACCCTCTCAAGCAGCTTCTGGAGATTTGTTTCAAACTCGCGAGCAAAACGAGTCGAAAGATTTCGAAGTCACAAATCAAAAACGATGATGCAGTAACTTAGGAGCAGTTGAAAAATCGCCAATCGCAGTTGAATGAGCTAGTCCCCACAGAAGCAAACATGAGGGTGCATGTAATTTTAAGACACTGTGCTTGTGCCAGAGCCACATTTACATGAAATTATTCGTACAACCTATTCAGAAATGCTGTTTATGTAATAATAGGACAATAATCTGTATGGGATTTTGTAATACTGCTGCATTAAATGATTGGATTTTGCGATTTGGTTGTACGATTGCATAGAATCTGCTGTCTGAACCCGGTTTATCCAAAAAACTTGGATAAAGCGAAATCAGATGTTTTTGAAATAACTGGAATATGATGGACTACCTAAAATTCCATTAGCACTTCATAATTCAGTCATATTTCTGAACGCCGAAAATATTTAATTGCTTGAATAATTCGTAAGAACCCTCCCTTTTTTTCTAATTGTTTATGGATCTCTAGCTAGTTCTGGGTATTTCCCGGCCCTCAAGAGCAGAGAAAACTGATAAAAAAGAAATGAGTGGTTGCTATAGGCAAAAGGCTTTCGCCGCAGGGATGGAAAAATCGGTCTGGATTTTAGCCTGATCTGACAAATAGGTCCGGACAAAAAGGAAATACGGGCTGATTTCAGGTTTGTTAAACGGCGAAGTGCTATACTTTAAAATATTTGCTTTTTAGCTTCCACAGTTTCGGAGGCGGTTAATCCGCGCAGCGCTTTTGCGATCGAGAAACGCATGAAAATTTTCAAATTACTAAGAGTAGGAAGGACCAGGAATGTGAAGGTAGCTGAAAAAAATAACACCATTAATATCCGGTGTTCGTTTTTATTGTCTTAATTAGACAATTTAATTCTAGCAAGTACTATAACAATGAGGATTGTGGTGATGATGGTTTAACGACAATGCCTATAATAACCGAAAAAAGCAAAGAAAGCAAGAATGCCAGCGACAGTGTTCTCGAGACGACCGCTCTTTAATTCATTCAAGAAAGTACAAATTTTTTCTTTTTGATGTTTTCGGCAGTTTCCGCGAAATTCCAGAAATTTCTTCCGGGTATTTTTGCAAGAAACAAAAAATGCACTATGGCGAAGTAATGTTTAACCAGCAAAACTGCTGTAAAAACTTAGCTTCTAAATTTCAGAAAGTAGAAATCTACCAAGAATTGTAATTTCATCGACCTGAACAGCTCCCCAGCTTAGGTGTTGTTGGTTTGGAGGAAATGAGGTGAATTCAAAATCCTAAAATTTTGTTTTAATGAATATTAGCAAAAAAAAAACTTAATATTTCAGATCCCATTTTAATGAATACAGCAAAAAAAAAAACTTTGAGGACTTATGGTCTAAGAGCCAAATAAAGAAAAAAAAAATCGATACAGTTGCAAAATGAGATAAGTCACAAATTCGAAGTTTTATTGACCGCTGTACGAGTCAGTGGTCACTATGGGACAGCAGAGTGCTGTGTAAATTGAACTGTCATACACAATGCCGTCGCTGGAGCTTTTGTTAAACAATATTTGAAGAATAAATGAGCGGTGCACACACTTTCGAGTTGGAGAAACTGGCAAGGAATAATTGCAGATTTTCCCTTCTAATTAATTTCAGTCGTCTAAAGTGCATTGTTGCCAAAGAAAAGTTGTGAATAAGATATTTTTGCGAATTCAGCAAAAAAGCTTAGTTCCCCTAATTGCTCATTCCGTTTGGAAAATGCACGCATCTGTGGTGATGAAGAAATCTGACTGATAACGAAGGCACTATAACAATTCTGGTGATAACGATAGTGATGATGATGGTACTGAGACATGTTTCAGTTAATGTTGCCAGTGTCGGGGGAATTAGTTGGAATGTCGAGTTTCGGAAGTAAAATTGGAGTTTAAATCCGCTGAAATCCAGCTTAGCTCATCGCGAATGCGGAAGCAAAAGCGAAGCGGTGAGTGATGAACGTGTTTTGAGGAAACGACGCCCATGCATTGATGCAAAAATAAAGAATCTTTAAATATATAAGATGCAATTTGCGCATTTTAAGAATGCATCACGAACCTCCCGCCCAACACTCATGATTCGCATTTGATTTGAGGCAAAGGCTTAAGTACCACTTTGGAATGGGAACAGGAAGGAAAAAGGGAGATCGTTAGAGTTGAATTAATACACTCATCCAATGCTTCTCGTCCCGTTATGGAGTGCATTACTCTAGTGCTTTAATTAGCTATAGCCGATAGGATTCTTCAACCACGCAATTGGCATCTTTTTCATTAGCTTTGAACAGTGTTGCATTGCCTAATGGTCATTCCTCTGGTCAAGTGATGTTTATTGCTTTCCCTATCTGAAGCGTCTTAAGTGTACTTGAACTAGAATAGAGCTAAGGAGGCTGTAGCTAAATTCTGTCAAGCACCTCCTCGACAGAATCGTTGAGCTGACAATTTTTTCGAAAAAACAAACGAGTGTCAGTGCCACAAGACTGTGTAGCACTGGTCAAAGCGATTGGAAAAATTGTCAACTGCAAAAGATTCGACTGTGAAAGGCAACTGATCGAAGTCTTAAAATATGTACGAATTTAAAAGTATGAACTGATTATCTTTTTGCAGAATTAAATTCGTCTGGTGGAAAGCGAATAAGAGAGTTCTGCACAAATCCCTTGCAAAGGCAGAGACATGTTTCTTTGGGCAGGTGGTGCTAAATACTAAAACAGTAGCAGAAAGAACAAGAGCAACAGCAGCAGAACGAGTCCCATCAAGAGAGAAGAAGCACTGGGGAGAGCAGAGGAATTAGCGGTCGAAGGCATGATTTTAGCATTAGCATGACAAAAGACCAGTTAAACACTAAATAATTCGAAAAGACAATTTTAATGGATATAGAATGGAATTTTTTGGATGAATAAACCGTTGAATTGGTGCACCGTGACTACTGCTGCCGAAAAAGAATAATACCATTGATAGGATTGGACTGGATCCTGATGCACGAAGATAGGCCGGGGAAATGAAAGGCAAAAGGGATCTGACGAGGGGGAAAGAGGATGGGTGGTTCCAAGAAACGTGAAAGTGAGAATGAGCAGATAAAAATTTTGAAAATTTATCATTTCTTCCAAACAAATGGACCCTGCAAAATTCACCAAATTAAGCCCCACTTCAGACACATTATTAGCTACATTTGAGCACTTGTTCGCAGCAGTGAGAGTGGCGAAAATTACTGGAACCAACGGAGAGCGATGCACTTTTTACAACTAACAACAATACAATTTTCAAATCCGTGTTGAAAGAAGTTAACACAGTAAGAATAAATTAACAGAATTACCAAAATTATCCGGAAAATCGGTGTGGGGATCCGTTATTACTCAAAAGTTACCAGATGCCAAGTTTAACTGTATTTTATTTTGAGGTGCTTCTTTTCCGATAACAACCACATCTCTTCACAGAACCCTCACTTCTCCCTTCCCCCAACCCTCCTCCCCCAAAGAAAAAACAGAACGGCTCAATGAAAAGCGACACAAGAAAAATCTAATTTTATAGAATTCCAGAGATGTCAAAACGATAAATAAACGCTTTTAGTTGAAGTAGCTTTAGTTATTTACCAAAACCAACAAATGCGCTTAGACAGGCGGTGTAATGTTACTGGAATGTTCCCACAAGCCAAACGCAGCTATGTCCGATCCTTCGACCCTGAATCGAACACCTCCAATTAGTATCCATTCAGTTATTAAATTATTTAAGCTTTTAACGAGCCACTGTAACCGCCATCATATACTAGCACTGCTTATTGCAACAATGGCATTAAGCGCGATAAGGTATTATTCGAACTGACGTTGGTACCAGGCAGTGCCAAGTCTTTGTTTTTATGCATTTC